AATACCCAAAATGAAGGAAGGAAAGGTTTATTTAGCTCACAGTTTGTGGAGGTTTCAGTCTATATTTGGCTGGCTCCCAGGCAGAGTAGCACATGGAGAGCAGCAGTTCATGGCAGCAAAAAACAGCAAAGAGCAAAGGAAGGGCAGCAGCTGTGGCTTCCAGCCAGCCCCTCTCCCCTCCTTCTATTAGAAACAAGCTACCTTGGGGCTGGGGATGTAGAACTCACACAGTGTCCATGACCTCCTCTTGAAAAGGATGAGGATGTTTACAAACTTAAGAATCCTGGCTCTCTGCTGAGTCACTTAATTAAACTGCTAAACTTCTCAAATTGACACAACGCATCAACCAGTATACCCTGTTTTAAAAAATGTAAAATAAAATAAGGATTAGATAAAGATCCTGGGTGCAATTTTTCTGGATTCAACCCTCAGTGCTAAAGTCAAACAAAAACAAGTAAGAAGTCCTTTTCTGTAACTTCATTTGTTCATTAAAAGAAACTTTTATACAGCTAGGATTGACATCACCTAAGCATGTTGCCCAGGCCTGTGGTTCCAGTGATTCCAGAGCCTGGGGAGGAAGGGTTGGTAAAGCTGATGGGCTAGTGGCCACAGTTAGCCACACTGTGCAACCCCATCCAGAAAGGGAGGGGAAGAGGGTCCTTTACATCAAATGGACAAGAAATGGTTCAGAACACTTATATTCAGAAAGAGTTAGATCCATCTCCGAAGAAAGAAGGTTATAGCTTAGGGATAGATTGTTTGCTTAGCATGCAGGAAGTCCTGTTTTGTTTTGTTTTTTTTTTGTTTTGTTTTTTGTTTTTTTCTTTTTTTAAGAGAATAAAAAATAATTTTAAAAAATACAAATGATACAGAATTTCACTAAACAGAATAATAGGAATTCAACAATGGTTGTTATATTGAATATTGTCTTCAAATTATTGTTTAGCTCACCAGACATAAGCATGCATAATTGTTTAAAAAAAAGTCATAAAACATTAAGAGAAAAAACGCTTAAGCATTAACTTCTTTCAGTAGACCGGCAGAAATCTGCAGTACAACTATCCAAAGTATGCTGTATATATACATAAATACATCTTTCTCCCTTCTTTGTCCTTTTCCTCATCCCACGTGTTCCTTTCCTTTGAACAGATTTTTCAAATTCTATTTACTCTTTCAGATTCTTACACTAATGAAAATCCTGGGTTTGATCCCCAGTAACATAAATAGCACAACTGTAGCTGTGGACCACTCCACTCCTCTGCACTCAGCTAAGCCAGAGAAATGTCCCAGAGCTACCTCTGCCCTTTGTACTAATCCTTCCTAACTGTAGAAATAAGAACCCCTGAGCCCCATTGTAAAATTCCAAAGTCCCAAACCAGGATGCAGGTGTGCCAGACTTTCTGGCATGATCTATACTATAAGTCCTACTGTAATCTTCATTCTGTGCTCATTGAAGGTTTATGCATATGAATTGCGTTTCATACATACAATTATAACAGTGAATTATGAGAAGGGACATGCACAGTAAATACACATAACATTGCTGCAGAATGTGTACCCCTACTGGATAGAAAACACTCTGCACCAAGGAATTGGAAGACAACTTTTACTAGCCACTGGCAGGCTGGTGGGAACCGGGTCCAAATCACCAGCCTCAGCTTAGAGTACAAACATACATTTTGTAAACAAGTACACGTTGATAGTGGGTTGGTCTATAATTGGTTACATCTACTTGGTTACAGGTTTTCAGACAAATATGTGGGGGCAGGTTTAATTGAAGGGGGCCATTCATCATGAAAATCTGAGGGAAGTCAGGATCTGGGTAAGCAGGTAAGATTAACTGTATCATTGACAGGGATACTGTCCTGGGTAGATATTGCCTGAAACAGGCTAGCAAAACAGGATGTTTGCAGGCCATTGTGTAGCTGGCAGATAGAGCTGAGTCAAATTATCTCTGAGTTGCAGCTGGGTAGTTAGTCAAAGCTGGCTGAGTCTGATGGCCCAATTATGAAGCTGTAATTTTAAAATTTTCTATTACATGATTCAGCATCCTGTTAATCACATTATCAATCATACCCTGGAAAGCTCCACAGAAGGCACCCTAGACCTGTCATAGCACTGTAAATTCTTAAACCAAACACCCTCCAGCGTTCCCACCATTTTCTTCTCTACCAGCATGAACACACTCACTCCATGTGTACCACTGCCTGATTAAAACTTTACTTTTTCCATACTAATGTGCACCACATTCAGTTCTTTGTTCATTATACTCAGGTACCTAGAAACCTGTCTGGGACTCATATCCATGGGAACACCAGTACTACAATTAAGTAAGGAAAGCAGAAAAAGTTAAGCCAGTGAAACAGGATGATGGTGTACACCTGTGATTATGTGTTTGATTACAAGTTCAAGCCCAGCCTGGGGAATTTAGTAACTTAGTGACACCCTGTCTCAAAATTAAAAAGGGGCTGGAAAACAGTCCTTGGAATCAACAAGTTGTTTTTCCTCTGGCCCTTGCTCATTGAAAGTGGGTGTTAACAAGGGCCATTTCATACTGACTTCCATGGCTTCCAGTTCCACCATTCTGAAGTCTCCATTTGCCCATGTAGGGATCCTTTGGAATCTCAGTGTAACCTGGGAAGGAATGGCGTGGACAATGAGGAAAATGTAAGACAAGAGACAATAGCTGGATCAGGTGGAACCTGGGAGAGGAACCTGCCCAAGAACTGTAGGACGTTTATTTATGCCCTTGACATTAATGTCAATTTCAACCTCCCTATGCATGGCTTGGAGGAGCTTCCCCATTCTCTCACTGGATTCATTTCATTGTGTGTAATTATGTTCCAACTTCTGCCACTCCCAACATTTCTGTGCTGGTTTTTTCAACCTGTTGGCCATTCTGTACATAAATTAGCAGTTTCTGCAGCCTTAAGTCTCTTCCTCTTTTCAATAGTGGACACAGTGAAAGCTGGACTTACATGTATTTTTTTTTAATCATAGTTACTATGTGAACCAGAGTGGCCTTGAGTTCTGGATCTTCCTGTCTCACTCTCCCTAGTCATTCCTTCAGTCTGCTTGGTTATATTACCACATCTTGGGGTACTGCAGTCACCTTCTAAAGGCGGTTTCTAGAGTCTGTTCTGAACAAAGAACTGGTTCAGACAAATGCAAAAGTGATGACAACTTAATTTATTAAAGATGTCTTATGGGCAAAAATGTATCTTTATACATATTCCTGCTCTACAGAGTGAGTTTGGACCAACTCGAAGTAGCAAAAGTACACCCTACAGAGTGAGGGCAGACCACTGTGAGAGAGAGAGTACAGTGGGCATGAGAAACACCACCTTCTTTTTACCTCCGACTCCTCTGGCTGGCACATCTAGGCAGTCCTATCAAAACCTGCTGGAAATGGACACTGTGGTACATGCCTGCAATCCCAGCACTCAGGAGGCTGGGATAAGAGGATCACTGTGAGCCCAAGGCCAGCCTAAGCTACAAAGAGAGTTCAAAGGCATCCTGAACTAAATAGTGAAACCCAGTCGTGAAAAATATTAAAATAAAATAAAAATCTGTTCTAACAAGAATTGAAAATAGCACTCTCAGATTGGTCCTACCAAGGTTTGATGCTCTGTTGTGTGTCTTGGAATTTGGGAATGAGCAGGTCATGTCGACTAACCCAGCCAGTTTGCCTTGTCCTAATCCCGTGCCTACTGGTTCCTTGCTTAGGAGGTTCCTGTTTCTGAGAAATACAATGTATGTATTTGTTTACCCAAAAATAGGACCATACTTTAAAAGTGCTAAATCTGCAAGAAGAGTCACATTACTTGGAGGTTCCAGGACACCACTTCTGGAGTAATTGAAAGAAGTAACCAGGAAAAGTTTTTATTACGCTTTCAGTTAATTTTTTTAAAATTTGTAAATTTAACGATAGCATTCACCACCCCCATACTACCCAGGACCTTTGCACTGAGCTATAACAGCCCATTTTTCTTTTTTGGGACAAAATATAAGTCACTAAATTTCCCAGGCTGGTTTAATACACGAGACCCTCTAGCCTCAGTCTCCAGAGTGCTAGGATTAGAGGCATGGGACACCACACCCAGATCGGGCATTCTTAATCTATTTTTGGGTAACTTCCATGCACCAGTATGTAAACTGTACCTTCTCCTACTAATCTGCTTTGTGTCAATTCTTGGACCAGCTAAAACCCCTCAAAGAAAAACAAACCCGCCTCCTCTCTGCTTGAAGCCGCCCCGCCCCGCTCCACAAAGCTAGCGCGAGTCCCCAGATAAGAGACACCCGGCAAGTCTCGCTGCTCAGGAGGAGAAAACGATGGACGAGGCGGGTGCAGCACCAAGCGCAGGTCCGAGTCAAAGACAAGGTGCTGCTTTTCCCGGGTCGTCGCAACAACCCACTGAGCAGGTCAGTTGCTGTGCCTAGGGGCAGCCTGGAAAGTGTCCAGGGCGACAGACACACTACCCTCGGTGCCTGCTGGGAGTTGCGGTCCAGCACGGCTAAGGCGAGAAAGGTGGAAACGGTCTCCGAGTAGCCCACGGATAGAATCTGATCGCTGCTGGACAGGGACTCATTTGAGCCACCACCTACTTGCGTAGAGCAGGGAGAGCTAATTAGTACACTTCCTTCTCCGGTTCTAGCAGCAGTGCTTCAGTCCCTGGTTCCGCGGAGGTCTCGCCCGCTCCCGAGCTCGCGCACTGTCCACAGTGCCCCTAGCCCCTTACCTCTGGGGAGCGCCTGCGCTTACTAGCGCTTGGGGGCGGAGCTTCTTGGGGGCGGAGCTTCTCAGGGGCGATACGTACGTGCTACGCTGTGGGGCGGGCCCTGTGCGGATCGGCGTTCTAGGTGGGCATTCTTGGGGCGGAGCCTACGTGAGCCGCGCTCGGGGGCGGGGCTTCCTGGGGGCGGAACCTGCGTGTTCCGCGGGTGGAGCGAGGCCTGCAGAAAGCGTGGGTGGGGCTTTCTGGAGGCGGGCCCTGCTGCGGAGGCGCGGGGTGGGGCCTAGTAGGCCCGCGGCTTCCGCGCTCTGGAGGGAGCTGCCGCGGCGAACAGCTCTGCTTCCGGCCGCGGGCGCACGAGGCCGCCCATGGACCGCGCGGCGGTGGTGCGGGTGGGCGCGGCAGCCAGCGCCGGTGTGTGCGCCCTGCTAGCGGGGGCGGTGCTGGCGCAGTACCTCTTCAGCCTGCGCAGAAGGACGGGCCGCAAGACCAAGATCATCGAGATGGTGAGCTGGGCAGGCCGCGGGACCCGAGCGCGGGTCCTCCTGCTGAGGCCGGTGTCCACTATAGAGTCGGGGGCTGCGTAGTCGAGTCTTACACCTCTGTCGCAGACATACCAGAAGTCCCCTTCTGTATTCTCAGAGCTCCTGCACTGATGTTGTTGAAATGGTATCTCTAGCCGGGTGTGGTGGCACCTGCTTGTCATCCCAGCACTGGGACGCTGAGGCAGGAGGATCACCGCGGGTTCGAGGCCAGCCTGAGCTTCATAGTGAGTTCAAGGTCAGCCTGAACTACATAACGAAACCTTGTTTCAGAAAGCAAAAACGAAAAAGTGCCTCAAAAATCCACTGGAGATATATGATAACGTGCTCCGAAGTTGGGTTTGTTTAGTGTGTAACTAGATCTGACATAGACAAGTCTGTTTTTTATCTGGAGCGCACAGTCCTGGATCCCTCCAGGTCGGTCGCTGCTCCTGTGAGCATCCAGGTGAGCATCTGGGTGCATGTGGCTCGTAGATAACACCGTGTAGGTTGCGCTGGGTGTGTGCTCATCCTGGTGGAGGAGGTGTGGTCCTGCTGGTGAAGGCCCACCGCACAAGGGCGGTGTGGGAACAGCTTTGTTTTATTAAAAGTAAAGTTAGATCTCAGGATAAATCCTGAGGGGATTTCACTGACCTTATCAGACCCAAAAGCTACAACTCTTGTTGCATAGGTCCTGCTTTACCTTGGTCTTAACCATCCAGCAGAAAAGTATAAAAGCAAAGTATAAGTAGTAAAGCCATGCTGTTATGTTGAGCTGTAGGGGACTCAGGTCAACAATTTCTGATGTTGCCAGTCAAGCGGAGGACCCAATACTATATACTGGACTCTTGTAGAATATTTTGCTGAGTTTACACACCTATAATATTTAAATGATGGAACTTAACAAAAAAAGGGGATACAGATGAATGTCCATTTTGTATTTGTGTATTCAAAGTGGTTAGGATAGATATATAGTTGCATTCTCTTAATGAATAGAGGGATTTGTTCTAATGGTGTTTGTAAATAGGATATCATGTCCGCATCTTGTACAGCAATTAACCACTAGGAAGAATGTATGCAATGTGTTAACTATTCAAACTGTCCTACCACTTTGGTTTGAAACCATCTCATTGCTATTTGTTTCTCAATAAAATTATGGGGGAAAAAAGCAAATTTAGGAAGTAAATGCTCACAGATCTCATTCCAGTAAGATTCCTAGATTTTGAGCTAATGTGCTCTTGGATTATATAATTTATTTTCTCTACCTCCGTATTCTCAACAAATGTTTTTGCCTCTGAAGTTTCCTTTTGTTCATGATGCTGTCTTACTTAAAACACAATGATTTTCTTTTGCCCCACACCCAAAATGTATAAATATATTCTTTTTTTTTTTAAGTTTATTTATTTATTTAGTGTGTGTGTGTGTGTGTGGCCAGCTCAGCCCACCAGGGGGTGGGGCTGGCTGGCATGTGGTGCTGGGGATTGAACCGCGGTCCCTGCACTTTGCTAAGCTTGTTCTAAGTAGGTGCTTTAGACCACTGAGCCATCTCTCCAGCCCAAATATATTCTATTTTTAATACTTAATTATGTATGTGATTTGTCTTAAGTTGTGGATGGGTCTTTCAACAGCCTAAGTAAGAATTTGCTCTCTTTGAAAAATAATGAAGAATCATCAAGAATGGTAACTTCACTTAGTGTACCGTAGCCACCAGTCACACCTACGCGCAGACAGGATACAATATTTTAATGCATATAGCTTGCAAGTAAATTTACAAGGAAAATTATGATTTAAACTCTTGTGACTTTCCTAGGTTGCTTTTTCAAATGGAAAAAGTATTTAATTGTGAGACCCCAAAATGTGGGTTCTGGCTCTAGTTCTCTGTCTTTACAACACTCAGGTCTTAGGGAGTCCCTCCCTCCCATTCCCCACCTTCATCTCTTAGGACTTCCACACCCTCAAATGAGGCTTTCAGAAGTTTTTCTGTGAGCATCTGGGGGAGTGGCTGTGAGACAGTGCTAGCCACTGTTATTTATCTCTAGGGGATTTTTCGAGGCACTTTTTTTTTTTTTTTTTTTTTTTGCTTTTTGATTCAAGTTTTCATAAGGTAGTTCAAGCTGGCCTTGAACTCACTTTTTAGCCCAGGCTGCCTCTAGAAATGTGCCTTAGTGCAGAGGCCTACACAGCAGGCAGCAGAGTAGAGACAGGCAGAGGTAGTGCAGGTGGTTGCTGCTTCCCTTCCACACACTGTGTTCATCATTTTGCATTTTCTCTGAGGCCACAAAACAGCCTCCTGTACCTGTTAGCTGTGGGGCTGGAGCTGGGTAGATTTCTCTCTCTAGCACCCAAAATCTTCATGAATTGCTAACTAATCTGGCATAGTTAACTGTTTATTTTAGCTTAATTTTTGGTGGTGCTAGAAATTGAACCCAGGGCTTTATGCATGCTAGATAAGCAATGTGACTGAGTTGTGTCCCCCAGTTTTTTGTTGTTCTTCTTGTTGTTATTTGTTTGCATGATTTGTTTTGGTGCAGGCTCTCACTGAACTGACCAGGCTGACCTTGAACTTTTGGCCCTCCTTCCTCAGCCTCCTAAGTCATTGGGATTTCTGGTGTGTGCCACCATGCATGGACAGACCTTTTTCTTTTCTTCTTCTTCTTCTTTTTTTTTTTTTTTTGCATGTAGTCTTTGTGCAGGGGCCATACTAATCTTTGTATCATCCCAATTTTAGTATGTGTGCTGCTGAAGTGAGCACTAGAAGGTCTTCCTTGGGGCCTGCTGGTTAGCTCAGTTGTTTAAGCGTCTGCTTATGCAAACAGTCAGGCACAGGATACCACGGTTTGGTTTGATCCCCAGCTCTTCATGCCTTACCAGACCCACCCTTAAGACAGCCTGAGCCAGCCAAATTAAAACAAAGAAAAAATCCTTCCCAACTATCACAAAAAAAAATTGTGTTCTAGATTTCAGGGGTTGGGGAGATAGCTCAGCAGCGTAAGTGCCTGCCTGGCAAGCATAAGGTCCCGTGTTTGATCCCCAATAACACACATACGCACACACACAGAAAAAAAAAATTGTATTAAAAGGTCTTCTTTTTATTTTGTGTGTGTGTGTGTATTACCAGGGATCACTTGCCAGGGAGGCGTTTATGCCACTAAGCTATCTCCTGCCCCCACCCCCACCCCGCTTTTTTTAGTTTTTTGGTGGTTTGTTTTGTTTTGTTTTGTTTTGTTTGGTATAACTGGGTATTGAACTCAGGCCCTTGCGCTTGCCAGGGAAGCACTTATTCCACTGAGCCATCTCCCTGCCCCCCACTTTTAAAGTAAGCTTTATTTTGGAACAATTTAGATATAGAGGAATAAGGAGTAGGTAGGTATAGGCTTTTCATATGTCCCCTATGCAGTTGCCTCCCTTGTTAACATCTTACATTACCATGGTTTGTTTGTTACAGTGAATGAATAAATACTGATACTTTCTTAAATGTCTGTACTTTTATTCAGATTTCTAGTGTTTTTGCATAAAGTCTCCTCCAGGAATGTCCCTCTTCACGAGTGCTCTGCCACTGAGATCCACTGCCTCCTCCCTCCTCTTGGCTATGCCAATTTCTCAAACTTTACTTACATTCTCACAGTTTTGAGTAGTTGTGGTTGGTATCAAATAGAATATTCCTCAGTTGGATTTTTGTCTGCATTTTTCTTTCAATTAATGGAGTTTGTAGTTTCTGTAAAGTTATTTTCCTTCCCTTCCTTATACACTGTGTTCTATAGAAGGAAATCACTGTGAGATGTCCACACCCTGCCCCCATGCGGGGAATTGAATGTAGGGCCTTTGCACCAAGCTACATACATTTTTAATTTTTTTTTTTTTTTTTTTTTTTTTTTTAAGATAGTGTCTTGTTAAGTTACCCAGGCTGGTCTCCATGTCACCATCCTCCTGTTTTAGCCACCCAATGCTGGGATTACAGGCATGCACTATCAGATCTGGCCGGTATCCAAAGTGGGAAGCCCTGTGTGGTGCCACATGCCTGTAATCCTAGCATTTGGGGGGCTGAGGTGGGCGGATAGTGAAGTCCAGACTTAAATGAACATAAAGACATGCTTTTCAAAAAAAAAAAATTGTAGGAAGCTCTGTTGCACATTCTTCAGAGTGTGGCATAGACGTAAGTTCCTTGTTGTCTGTGCAGTTGTTACCCTGTAGGTGCAGACCTGCAGATGCTAGTTTGCATGTTGAATCAGAATCCAGGGTTGTTTTATTGTGTTGAGACATCCTTTCATCCTGGTTCTTGTATGCTCTGTCCTTTGACTCTTACATTCTTGCCATACCTCCATCAAGTCAATAAGCTTTTTCCAGTTGAAAATGAAATATTGGATGTCCAATAGGTGACTCTGCAAGAATGAAAAAAGTTAATTTTTAAAGTAAACCGTGTTCCCCGCACTTGGCTAAGCGGGCATGTTAGTCTGCTGAGCTATTTCGCCTGCCCCTGAAACAGGGACTTCTTTAGTTGCCTAGTCTGGGCTAGAGCTTGAGTCTTCTGCCTCAGCCTCCCAAGTGCTGAGACTGCAAGCGTAGACCATAACTTCTCGTCCTAAATTATTTTTGTTAGCATACAGTCATGTTTGTTCATTTAGATTTTGTCTGGAGCTGTTTTCATGCAACATTCATATTGCAGCCAATATGAATCCCTTCCTGGGATTCAATCCCAAGTGGATCCCTTCCTGTTCCTTCTCAGCACATTATAAATTACAGCGACTTACTGTAACATGACAGCATTTCAGGTATCATGAATATCACCCTCCTGTGAAAACCATGTTCAGAGATGAGCTGTGTCAAAATCTTACTACAGATTAGAATTAAAAACGAACGTTTGGTCATTGTGGTTCCGCGTTCTTTGCACAAAATACCCAGTAGAGCCACAGAAACTGTCCCTGTTACAGAGCAGGAGTTGCCAGAGCCCCAGGCAGAGACAGAGTCTGGAACAGAATCTGACAGTGATGAATCAGTACCAGAGTTCAAGCAGCAAGATTCCACACAAGCCCAGCTGGCGGCAGCAGCTGAAGTGATGAAGAACCAGTCGGTAAAGCAAAACAGAAGGCACAGAGGGCTATGTCCAAACTGGGTCTTGGGCAGGTTACAGGGGTTACTAGAGTCACTGTCTGGAAATCTAAGAATATCCTGTTTGTCATCAAAAGCCAGATGTCTATAAGAGCGCAGCTTCAGATCCTGACATAGTTTTGGAGGAAGCCAAGATTGAGGATTTAGCTCAGCAAGCATAGTTAGCAGAGTGAAGAAAGAGAAGGGGATGGGATGAAGCAGGCATGGTAGTTAAGGGTATAGAATTGGTTGTCACAAGCAAATGTATCGGGGGCAAAGGAGATCTGAGCCCTGAACAATAGTAACAGATTGTAAATGCTGTTATGGGACTAACAGTGTAATCATCTGAAAAGAGGACTTTTATGGTTTTTTGTTTTAAAAAAGGTCACTGCAGCTTAGTTTGAAATTTGTGCTGTTTCTATAACTAACAAAGTTAAGACTTACTGAATAAAAACATGAACGTTTGCAATACATTTTTTTTCTTTTTTTCCCGATACTTTTATTGATAAACAAATAGCAATGAGACAGTTTCAAATCAAATTGGTAGGACAGTTTCAATAATTAACATAACTAACACATTGCATACATTCTTCCTAGTGGTTAATTGCTGTACCAGATGTGGACATGATATCCTATTTACAAATACCATTAAAACAGATCCCTCTATTCATTAAGAGAATGTAACTATATATCTATCCTAACCACTTTGAATACACAGATACAAAATGGACATTCATAGTTATACCCCACTTTTTAAAGTTCCGTTATTGAATATTATAGGTGTGTAAACTCAGCAAAATATTCTAAAAGAGTCCAGTAGCCCATAATAGTATTGGGTCTTCCGCTTGACTGACAATGTCAGAAATTGTTGACCTGAGTTGCAATACATTTTGATGATAAGAAATGGCCACTTTGAAGACAAGTGAAATGTTATTTTTAAAGTCAGTTATATCTGTGTGGTTTGCCATGTGTTCACCCCACTACCACCACCCCAACTATACGCACACTGGGGACCAGGGCCTTGTGCATACTAGAAGCGGACTCTACCACTGAGCTGTATCCTCGGCCTTTTTAAAAAGTTCTCTTTTTGAGCACGGTTCCATCAGCTGTCCTTCTTTAGTTTATTGGGTGAATGAGATTACAGACATATGCCAGGGCACCCGGCTTGTATTTGGGTTTTGTTTTATTTTGTGTTTTGAGGAAGACTCTCTGTTGCCCAGGCAGGTTTTGAACTCTTGGGCTTGTGTGATACTCGCACAGCTCCCAAGGCAGCAGGACATATGTATGCGCTGTCACACCCAGCTAGTTACATTGGAATTGCCTCAGTGAAGTTGCTCAAATTTGGTTTTGTGTTAAATGAATGCCTCTCTATCTTTGAGTGTATCTCTTGGGTCATAGACCTTAGACTAGTCACTGACTGACCTTTTATGGAGTTTCCTGACTGCTATGGAAGTGGATAAATTCCTGCCAAAATTTTATGATCAGTTTGGAGAAAGCTGAACATACAGAAAAGCAAACACTTTGTATGTATAAGTATAGTGTGTGAAATAGAGTGTAATTACTTCTGCTTGAACAGGGTCTTATTATCAAGTAAACATATCTGGTCTGAATTAAATCACAAACAGAAATACCACGGAGAAAGACTTATTGGATATTCAGAGTTTTACAAGGTATCAGCACTTTAGTTTGACCTGATTTCAGGGCCTGGTTCCCTGCTTTCAAGATGTAAAAAATTTAGTCATCATCATCATCTCATAACACATTCATGTTAAGGGATGTAAGCCTAATTTTGTCATCATGGTGCACAAACATGGGTCTGCTCTTTAGGATATCTCTATTGTTAGATTAATTTTGTGAATTTTATTATATTAAGCAGTACTTAATAGAAAAAATTAAGTATTGAGTTTTTAATATTCACTACTTATTTAAACCATCAAAATTTTCAACATGGAGTTTTTGGTGTCTGAAGTCTAAAAAAAGTTCCTATGTGAATGTCAATGAAAATACAAATGACACTACTAAAAAAGCTCTACTTCAGTTATCACACCTTAAAGTAGTCTGCATACATATCACTTACACTGACAGCACATGTTGTGTGCCTTCCTGTTTTTTGTTTTTTGTTTTGTAGGACATACTTGACCTCTTAGTTACCTTGATATTTTGTCAGGAAGTTCTTATTATATAATATGTAGTTAATGGGAACATAAAATATCAAAAATTAGGGATGGGGAGATAGCTTGGCATTCTAAGCACCTGCCTAGCAAACACAAGGATGGTTAGATCCCTAGTACTACATGCTGCACTGGCACCAGAGCCCAGGCATGCCAAGCCAGACACTGAAACCAGGAGTGGTGGTGCAACCCTGTAATCCCAGCACTGGGAAGGCTGAGACAGGAGAATCACTGAGTCCAAGCTGTGTAGTGAGAGCCTGTACCAAATAAATAGACTTTTTTTTTTGTATTTTAGGGAAGAGTCTACAGGGTGTTCAGGGTCTCACTACTAGATTGAACTCGTAGTGATCAGCCTGTTTACAACCTTCCAAGAGCTAGGATTACAGGCACACACCACCACACCCAGTCTCCAAATAAATAAATTAAATTTAAAAATAAGTTATTAATATATATTGCACTGTGCATTGTACATTTAGAATGACTATCAATATTTTCA